GATGTCGCTAAGCTTTCCATAGAGACCCCCCTAAAAAATAGGCATTGTATCATTAAAAATATTAAGACTTAGTCATTTATTCTTAAACTTATTCGTTAGAATATTGAAGAAGAAGATGCTTTACTTTAATTACTTTAATTGTTTTCTTATTAAAAAAATAACCATTTTCTATACCTAAACTAGAATGTGTGTTTTAAAGTGTTTGATCGACTTCATTGTATTTGATCTTTGTTAATTTCTGAGATCTTATGTGTGTTTCGATATTTTTAAATGATCTAGATGAAGCTTATTAAAGAAAACTTGTTCGATGATATGAAATAAAATATATTTAACTAGTCTGAAGACGTTATTTATTTTAAAAAATTAATCTAACAACAATGATTCTATTCTTTCAAAGATTTGATTATTTAAAATAATATTTCACAAATCATAATTTCTTAAAACCCATAGACCACTTTAATTCAGTAGTCTATTAAATACTGCGGTACCTTTGACTTTCTAATGTTGTTGTTCTTGTTGTTGTTCGCATTTTGTACCTTTTGATTATTAGGGCTGCATTCAACGGCGAGTGGCCAGGTGACGTGCCAGTTACATTTGTTCATAGAAAGCTTTCCCGCACGTAGCACACACGGTTCATTGGGTCCTAGCTTCTACGTCATTCTAATACAGTTTTAGGAGAGTCATTTTATTATCTCCCTGTTTTTCTTTGCGAGTATATAATCTTTCTTTGACGTCATAGCATTAGAATGAGATGAAATGTCTTCCACATTCTACTTCGAACAATGGAATTCCCCAAATTAAGCTATAGTTGTCTTTCTATATTATATAACTCTTAACTATCGTCTCTCTTGATAACTTTATTAATTACATTTTAAATACTCATCTAATCTCTGAGAGTGTCATTTTTGAAAACCAGAGTTTTTTTTTTTTTAATGAAATTTTTGTTTCCATTGTTTATGAAGCTAGAAACCGTTGGAAGAAAATGTGAAAGCCCGTTTCACTGACTTTAACAAACATTGCCAAACATAACGGGGGAAAGTGAACACAAACAACTTGAACTATGACCTACACACAATATACTGACATTAAATAAACAACAATTGACCTATAAAATACTTTTGTGTAGCAAGTAAACTAAGTATTGAGTTACAACACAACAACGAATATTTTCAGAACCTAAAACAATCTGAGCGAAATAAAATATGATATTTTTGTAATTTTGTTAATTCCCCTGTAAAAATCAATTTGTAATTATTATTTAAACAAAAAAATCAAATCTATTAACTCTTCAATGAGTAAATTTAATGTCATTATTTATGGTTTGTTTACTATGATTCGTATGGCCAGAAATAAAATGTCTGCAAGAATCTTCGGAAAGACGTTCAAACCATGGGCTTAATTCCGTCGAGATCACATAAAAGAACACATGTAGTAATCCAGCAGACGTCTGTGTGTGCCGCCATTGTGGTCATGGTTTTTCTCTGTTGACGCTTTCAAAAAAACGATCGACGAATCGACTTGGTGCACTGCGTTAGTGTCCACGAGGCTGGCGCTGATTGGCTGTTTGATAACTCGATGCTGGAGTATTGGCAATTCCGTTGCACACTCGCCATGATTTTGACATTACTGTGGTGTACCGACGAATGTGCTCTATAAGACACTGAATTGTAGCTGCTGATCTATCTGGAACACAAAACATGGCGCATTGACCCAATGACCAATTTATCACCACGAAGCAGAGCGTTAAATTCAAATTCTTTTTGCAAAGACTTGAAATTGAATTAGGTAAATCTTAACTAGAAACTAACTAAAATATTTTATGTTTCGTAACAAAATCAACATTTTTGTGTCATATTTATTCTTTGCAATGTTAGGTTTCCGAATAAATGTCATTCACGTGTTGTGAGAGTGTGAACACTCAACTTTTAGCTTTGTATCTTTTCTTGTCATATAATATGTGCTAGGTAAAGTTTAATTTATATCGTCTAGTCATAAACTAAAGAAAAATTCTTAGTTTTACCACAACTTTAAAAACTTCAACTCGAGACGACTAAAACCTTCATACTAATCACATTATTTCTTTGAAATTATTTAATTATTTAAGGTTTCTTTTGCAGAAAGTTTTAAAAGTAAAATAAATTGCCTGGACATAATCAGACAATGTTTACCTTAAATTTTATTTATTATGTTGCACAGTTCACAGTCCAGTTAAATGTAAATTTCATCTGTCCTGACAGACCATGTACTTGTGTCATCAAATCATGACAGACGATGTATTTGTGTCATCAGTCATGACAGAAAAGGAGGTGTGTCATCAATCATGACACACCATGTAATTGTGTCATCAGTCCTGACAGTCCATCTCATTGTGGACAAGAAAACACAAGCCAAAACGGACAATTTAAATGTTTAAGAGGAAATAAAAGACAAGTCAGAAGTTGCTTGGTTACAGGACTGGCTGGATAACACCGAAATCCGGACATCGTAGACACCACAAAACCATATTTGAAAGCTGTCACAGCCGCACATGGACTAAGTGTTTAACTACTTTGTTATTGTGTAACGTACTTTTTTATGTCCAAAATCAATCCAGTAAGACAAATAGATACATAGATAAATGTATTACTATTTCCATTTGTTTTTTGTTGAAATGACCCCTTGTTACAATTGGTTAGAAACAAACATTTGATTATATTTTGCGACGAATTTGAAACTAGAATTTTCAAACTGTAAAGAAGTAAAAAAAAAAAACTGTTTAAATTTTTTTTTCTTTATGCTGTAATATCCGATTTCCCTTAACAAGGATATTTTAGCTAGTTATCTATCTCCGGGGTCAAGTGAGGGCAAGTGGAGCAACTAGGAGGAAGGAAATATCTTTTACTTAAAACACACACACACAATCGCAAAACAAAACAACAAAAAAACACACGGATAAAACATTACAAAAATAAAAATAATAATTTAATTACATTAATTTTAATGAGGGATATCAGGGTTCCAGGGATGACACTTTCTTTTTTCCCCATAACCGCAAAAAAAACAACAAAAAAACAGGGAAAATAAAAATGAAAATAAATTTTTTCTTTCATTTTGTCCCCTTATTGTTGTAAATTTCTATTTTTGAGATGACCGAAATGCCCTTTAGTATTATATACATTAGGTCATGACATGTAAGATTAACATCACCGTTAGTATTTTATGCAGTACGTAATTACTAGTAAGATTAACATCACCGTTTGTCTTATATAAGTTAGGTCATTACTAGTAAGATTAAAATCACCATTAGTATTGTATGCAGTACGTCATTACTAGTAAGATTAACATCACCATTAGCCTTGTATACTTAGGTCATTACAAGTATGATTAGCATCACCATTAGTCTTCTATACTTAGGTCATTACAAGTATGATAAGTATCAAATAAAGCACCACCCCAACCCCCAATTAAAAAAACTAAATAAACGAATACATTAAAAATGTATCCCTTACTTGTGGTTCGAGCTAAACGTCACGTGACTCAATTCATTTAGTTAACTGCTTGTGACGTCACATGTCCTCTTATATTCCAATCAGACCTCACTCATACACCTAGTCTTTAAGTTAATTTGAAAAATCTACTCTGTTGTCTTCTTATAATTGTTTAGCAGGGATACATTTTTTAATTTTTTTTTTATTCCGTATCATTATTACTTTGCATTACAAATGGGTTGGTACAACCTGGCGCAGATTAACAAAACGCAAGTGAGCCCGCTATTAAGTCAATTTTTCAAAATATTTAGACACCTCCACAGAATTATTTTTAAAATTCATTTCTGCTTGTTTTTTCCATATTTTTTAAAGTGATCGCTAGAGTAACGGAGGAATGTCTGACTGATAAATTCAAGCATAGAAACAGAAAAAAAAAAGTATGACGTCAATTATTAATAAAAACAAAAATAAGTTGATTTCTATAACAACAAGCTCATGTCTTTCAAAATACCAATTATATTATTTAAAGAAAATAATTTGTAAAGATAGTGTCAGAAGTGGATTCTGTTGATGAGAATGACGTTAAAGAACTTCTAAAAATCTTGCTAAAAATCCCGATTATCCTTAATTTTACCCCCCCTTACTTTCTGAAATCGTTTATACTAGAAGATTTACCCCAAGAACATGGGCGCCCGCAAGGGGGGGGGGGCAAGGGGGCACTTGCCCCCCTTGGATTGATTAGATAAAAAAAAATTAGACAAAAAAAGAAAAAAAAAATATGAAAGTAAAGAGAAAATAAATAGAAATAAAATTAAACAAAAATAGAAAAAAAATGTATGAAAGTAAAGAGAAAATAAAGAGAAAGTAACTAAGCTGATGTCCTGTCCGTTCTTTCACCAAAAAAATACGCTACAGTAAATTAAAGCCCCCCCCCCCGGACAGTTAATCGATTTTTTGCCCCACCCCCCCCCCTAGAAAGTTTTCTGCGGGCGCCCATGCTTATTGCCTCAAGCCTTCAAACCCCTTGTGCATGATTTCCTCATCACCACCAGTAACCGAAACATTGCAAATCCCATCTACATGCATAGGAGCCAAAATGATCAATAAATTGATCGTGGGCCCTTAAGATATAGAAGAAGAAGAAGAACACCGAGCATTGTGGGTCACTTTAATTCAGTACTTATGTTGTATTTCTTCAGACATTCTAGTTGCCATTTAGAAATGTCGGTTCTTAAATCTTCAAACAAACAATATGAATTAACGATGCTGCTATCGCTACGTCCAGCTGTTATTTTTCAGTTTAATATTTGTTTGCCCATTCGACTAAAAGTAAGATGAAAAGTCTCCCATTTTCTTATTCTTCTTCCTATGCGAAATCTCTCTGACAAGTCTTAATTGTTTTCCAAAACAATGTTTATTTAATGGTAACTAAATCATTTTATCAAGTTCTCTATTTCAATATCATTTGTCTCATTAGATGATGGCTGTCACAAGATCATAAAGTCATTAATCATGTCAAATCAAGGAAACGATGGAGAGTGTCAGTTAGAAGTGGACTTTGTGGATGAAGGTGACCTTGAAAGACGTTTCAATTATTGTTCTACAAATCCTGGTCACAGACAATTTTTGTCATTTAATACTTTACAATAAAATGATTTACCTGAACATCAAAGAAAAATTTGTGCCTTAGATTTCATTCATCATGTCGCACAGTTCACTGTGAGGCTACTGGTAAATTTAATTAGTCCAGACAGACCATGTATTTGTGGACAAGAACACACAAGCCAAGACAGACAATGTCAATGTTTGAGAGGAAATGTGAGACACGTAGGAAGTGGTTTGGTAACGGGAATGGCTGGACCTGATCAACTAACTCCTGACGTCAGAGACTCCACAAAAACCTATTTTATACTGGTCACAGCCGCACATGTTATATTTGACACAAGTGAAGCCCAGAAGACAGAGATTGAATTTTTTTATGATGATCCACATGACAGGAGTTCAATGAGAAAAGCTTTTGGTTTGAGAGTTTTAAATACAAACTTAGAAGCTGACTTTAGTGAAGTGCTCTGTGTTACTGAGGATCACGTGATTTCTGGAAAATTGAATAATTGCAAGTTTAATATAAAAGGAAGCGATGAAATATCAGCAAAAAGTTCATCATGGGATTTGTCCCATAGCGCTAGTTTTCTAAAGGAATGTCAAACATTATCTCTGGATCTTGCTGTTCACATCTCCCATCCCCACGGGACATCAAAGAAAGTAACTTTTGGAAACATCGTTAGTGCAGACACACGTCACGGACATTACCAACTAATTTATAGTCTGGCAACATGTAAAGGGTCATCTGGTGGACCTGTCTTTGTTATTCCCGAAAATATATATGGCATAAACTATACATTTAAAAACTTAGAATCTATTTATAGTGTCCCACATGCAAGACATCATGGCAATGAGTTGAATTCAAGTTCATCGTGGACTGAGTATTATTCTAAAAATCCTGAGCCTAAGTTAAGTTCATTGGATATTGAGGATTCGCCATTGGGATACCGCTTGAATCATTATTTACATCTGATTAAATGTATCTCGAAATTGACAGTTGGGATACATGTTTTAAATGATGTAACAATTGTTTCAAAAAACATGGCAAGTGGGTTTGTTACCAGACTAGCTAACAATAATGATATAAAATCAGACTTGGCAGACACAACAAAGACATATTTTATAATGGTCACAGCTGCACATATTATTTCTGATACAAGTCAAGCCAAGGAGACAGAGATTAATTTCTTCTTTGATGATCTACAAAACATGAGTTTAGTGAAGAAAGCTTTTGGTTTGAGAGTTTTGAACTCAGACTCTGAAGCTAACTTTAGTGAAGTTCTTTGTGTCACCAAAGACCTCTTTATAATTTCAAGGTTGAAGAGACACTTTTTAGAACTGTCACCTATCACTCCTCGAAGTCGTTTAAGTCAATAAGCATCAACTTTGAAGAAATGTCTTACAGGTTCATTGGTTAATTCAGAATTTACTAGAGATTATTTTACTAGTGCCAATGAAATGAGAAAACATTTACTTTTTGAAGTTTACATGAGTTTACAATCTGCCATCGAAAGACTCGTCCTCATAACTTTATTCAAAGACATCGACAGCTTTGCATCCGACATTTTCTTACGAATATACGAAGAAACCTATGATTCAACACTTGCTGTAAAAAGTAATTTAGATGTTTTGGATTATGTAACTTTTCTTTATAAATATTTAACAGACAAACAAGGTTTGAAAGAGAAATGTTTATCGGCTTATTCAAATAAAAATAAGGAGGATTTAATAGCATGCATCAAACACACAAGTCAAGAGCTGTACTGTGAAATCATGCTGAGAGAAAAACACAAAATGACCTTCCAAATCTCACACCACGGAACCGAAGAAATTTCCTTTGATATTCCACATCTATCAGATGATACGAGGGGAAAAAACAGATGGGATGCGCTTGATGATTCGCCAGTGTTTACCATACTTCGCACCGTCTCATCTGAGGATGCTACAGTTGAGTCAAATATGTCGGGCATATTATTAAGACTTCATCAATATAACTTTGATTTGTCTGACCAGACATTTCATACTGATGGAACGACATTTTTTTCCCACGTTGCGTCACTGGACCGATTCAACCAATAGGATCCTCGGCTAGATGTTTTTTGCATATGTAGAATCAAGGTTAAACAATGATAACTGACTCTTGACTTAAAGCGATCATTTGTGATGGCATGAAACCAATTTGAATTTTTGTTGTTCAAAAATAAGTTAACGAATAATTTTTGCAATCTTTTTTACCTTAACTAACATAACGTACTTTTTTTTTTTTTGCATTTTTTTTTTTTTTTTTTTCATTTTTTTTTTTTTTTTTTTTTTTTTTTAAATATAATAACCACTAATTGAAAAAAAATTTTTTTTTTTTTTTTTTTTTTTTTTTTTTTTTGCATTTTTTTTTTGCATTTTTTTTTTTGAAAATAGAATACCCACTAATAGAAAAAAAAGGAGCTGGCATTATTAAAAATGATTCTTAAAAACTAGAATTTATGCCCTGAAGTTATCGGGTATAATAGTGGTAGGTCCTTTGGGATCATTTCTGTCTGCGAGTGCAAAAATTCATCACAAATCCTAACATTAAAAAGAAGTATCTATTTAATGATATTTACTTTTTTAAATCATTAAGTTTTGAGAAGCATTTATCTGCTACTTATCATACGGCTACCATACGCTCTTTCATGCCTCTAAACTACATTTCTTCCCCTCCAGTCATGACCTTAAATAACTAAATCTAAATTATCCACTAATTACACTATTATTGTCACTAAAGAAGTTAATTGAGGTACGATTTCAATGCTAGAGAAATACTTTAGATGTCTTGTGTTTTTAAATTGTGAACATTTTGGACCTACTCTACCCTTTTTCGTGCCCTTGAACTACATTTGTTTTCTTTAAAAATTCTGAAAACATAATCTTAAATTCATAATACAAATTCTATATATGATATCAATATATTATATATTAACAGGATTTGATATGTTGATATCGACATCAACAATTTAAACAAACTGTTGCCTTGTTTTTTTTTTAAATTATACATTGTCTGAAAATCGTGAATCAAAGAATTATTTTATCTAAAGAAGAATCTCGCAATTGTTTTTTTTTAAAACAATATAACAATTGTTCCTCTCACAAAATACGAATCCACTTTACTTTTCGCAAAATAAAAAAAAAAATATATATTTTTAAATTTTTGAAAAAATGTTAACCCATTTCAATTTTTCAAAATTAAATTTTCTTGTGTGTAAAATGATTTGGTTTACTTATGGGTTTTTCATGGGTTTACTTATGTAAATATACCAACGTTTGTTTAAAAATTACATTGATTTCCTTAATTGGTAAGGATAATATTTTTTTGTAAAAAGGGAATGTAGCATCTCTTATATCACGAATGAAATACCATAGGATTTAAATATACTGTCATACACGTAAAAAATGTATACATCCAATTTTCTACCACCGATATTCATGTAACTAAGAAGGTTGAATATTTATCAAATTCATTCCTTTATTCTAAGACGTATCTTGTGCAATGGTGCAAAATGAAGGTTTCGACCATCGCCCCTACTACCCCTTAAATTTTAATAAAATTAATCCAATCTTTCCCTGGATTGTAGTCCCATCCATGCGCTGCTACACAATGTTTGCACTTCGTATGGTTTGTCCTCATTAGGATGAGTGATAAGTGCATTAGTGAATGCTGTTTGGCTATGGAGTTTCTCTGCACTGATTGACCTAAACGGCATTTCTATTCAAGTATATTTTAATGGTTAAGTTTTTATAACGTTATAAATTCAATAAAAGTGTATTTTTAGAATTTAAAAAAATTAACAATTTATTAAATGTTAAGAATACAAAGTTAACATTTGCGTGCACTTTGTTAACAATTTAAAAAGCGGCCAATTATATGTCTTAATTTTACGTTTAAAAAGTAGAAAATGCATCATCAGTTTTGTCTCCCGCGGTTATTAAATCAGACTTTTAGCTTTGGCTGAACTTTTAGCTTTGGCTGAACTTTTAGCTTTGGCTGAACTTTTAGCTTTGGCTGAACTTTTAGCTTTGGCTGAACTTTTAGCTTTGGCTGAACTTTTAGCTTTGGCTGAACTTTTAGCTTTGGCTGAACTTTTAGCTTTGGCTGAAATAAGCTATTCGCGCTATGACGTCATTTACGTGATTATTTACAAAAAATTAATTTAAGTTTTATTTCGCAAAATGAACAACGCACTAAAACGCACTTAAAACGATATTTTAATGATGTTTGGGTCTAACAGTGATACATAAGTTAACAAGGGGAAAAGGTTAAAAAGTCGACAAAAAGAGGGGAAAATAATATGTTTCTTTATATTAAGACAACATTAATATTTTCTTATTAATCAAAAAAAAATTGAATTTGTTTTTTTTGTTTTTTTTTTTAAACACTATCTTGATTCAATTTCATGATGTCAAAATAATTTTGTAAAAACTGCACAGAGTTGTACCATTGTGAATAACATAATCATTTTAAAGTTAATTATTCTTTAAATCATTTTTTAAGCACAACAATCAGCGATTCGGCTGGTTTATTACAATGACTTTCAGAGTGTGCTTTTTCTCCTTATTTCCCTTTAAGCCTGTAATCTCTCATCTACTTATTTTCTTTCACAACTCTCTTGCTGTCCTCTCAGATACTATATTGAAGCTAAGTGTTATTTTATATATTTTCTTACTGTCGTTCGTTTGTACGCAGATAAAGGCTTCTTGCCCTGTGTGCTCAATATTTTAACTGTGTGATTTTTTGTTCTTTTGTCACCCCAGTCAACCACCCGTGTTGAAATGTGCGTCTGAAATGTTATGAGCTAGAGCAAACCATGAAAAACAGCAAGCAAAGTCTAGATTTTACCGTTAAGCTAATCTTAGCTCTTATGTGCCAGCGCCAGCCAAGCCAAACTGACAACGTCCGGAACAGGGTGAGTACTCAATGTTAAACTTGTTTATTAACTGTCTAAATAGCTGATACATATACGGGAACACTCAGTTCATTCGCGCTTGTTGATTTGAGAGATAAAAATATCAATAGAGAGATGAATTTAGATTAATATATATACACATTAGAGATAAATTTTAAACGTCCATCAAGTGGAGTATACTGAAATAGCCACGTCATATTTCTATACATAGTACATAATTAAACACACGTTTCAAAAGAAAAACTAGAAGTGTATAGGGAATTTAGTAGGTCTACCTCGTTAACGAATTTGAAAATATCTATTTTCTAATCTAATATTTATAAAAAAATATTAACCATACTTAACGCTTTCTTATATATTGTTCAGAAAAGACTGGGTCACTCAAATGAACGTCATAAGTTATTATTAACTACACGGATTTTCCAGACTCATAAGTCGTATACCATTTACTGAGTTTTAACATCTTCCAATTTAAAAGGAGTTTTCCCCTTTTCAATCAATGTTTTAAAAAAAGATGGTGCGCTGATCATTCTAGAAGCAACCTTGAAAAATACAGAGTCGATCAACACATTGATGATGAAAGCTTTTTTTTTGAGTCAATTTTGAAACCAAGTTATTGTCATCAATGAGAAATTTCCTGCCGTCATCGGAATATAGAACAACCTGTGCGATTAAAAATTGTACGGGGAAAAGAACTTGAACAACAATTTGAACAACTGTCCAGAAAAAAAAATTAAAGTAAAAAAAAAGTTTGAATTTGTAAAATTTAATGATTAAAGTTTTGAACGCATAAAATCTTTGCCTTTAACTTTAAAAAAATAAATATGGATTTGTTTGTGAACTCAAACAAGTAACATTTGGTTATTTCTACAAGTTGGAACTGAGAAAAGATAGTCTTAATAAAGTTAGGATTGTGCCTCAAAATCTCGTAAGTGAAAAACGTTAGTCAAGTGTTCCATTATGTCATAATACACCGAAAGCAGCACTTTCAAGTCAGTTTTGTAAATTTTCAAAGTGCGTTCGATTATCCTATTGATTAGCCAAATATATTTCTTCAGTCAGCCACGCGCGTAAAACATTACGCAATTGTGTGTCAAACTTCAACTTTCTTTATTTATCAAATAATTAGAATCAACCATTGAATTGTAAGTTTTCCAATGAATTGAAGTAATAAATAAACAATAAGTTAAATACAATAATTGTCATTTACGTCTACTCTAAATTAATGTTAGATCCACCAACTACTTATACATTGAAGAAGATATCATTAGACCAAGGCTGTCACAAGATCATCAAAACATCGATCATGTCAAGTCAAGGAAACGATGGAGAGTGTCAGTTAGAAGTGGACTTTGTGGATGAAGGTGACCTTGAAGGACGATTCAAATCTTGTTTAAAAAATCCTGATCACAAACAATTTTTATCTTTGAAAACTTTACAATTCAAAGATTTACCTGAACATCACCAGACACCTTGCACCTTAGATTTTATTTATTATGTGGCACAGTTCACTGTGAGGTTAGTTGTAGATTTCATCAGTCCTGACAGACCATGTCATTGTGGACAAGAAAACACAAGCCAAGACAGACAATGTCAATGTTTAAGAGGAAATGTGAGACACGTAGGAAGTGGTTTGGTAACTGGACTGGCTGGACCTGATCAACTAGCACCTGACGTCAGAGACTCCACAAAAACCTATTTTATACTGGTCACAGCCGCACATGTTATATTTGACACAAGTGAAGCCCAGAAGACAGAGATTGAATTTTTTCATGATGATCCACATGACAGGAGCTCAGTGAGGAAAGCTTTTGGTTTGAAAGTTTTAAATACAAACTTAGAAGCTGACTTTAGTGAAGTGCTCTGTGTTGCTGAGGATGAAAAGATATCTGAAACTTTAAATAATCGTACGTTTTTTAGAAAAGTAATCAGTGAAATAAAAAGTTCATGGAAGAAAGGTTGGACATTGTCACAGGATCTTGCTGTTCATATCTCCCATCCACATGGAACATCAAAGAAAGTGACGTTAGGAAACATTGTTAGTGCAGACACAAGTCACGGACATTACCAACTAATTTATAGTCTGGCAACATGTTGAGGGGCGTCTGGTGGACCTGTATGTGTTATCCCATAAGATAGATATGACATTCACTTGACATTTAAAAACTTTGAATCTACTTTTAGTGTCCCACACTCAAGACATCATGGCAATGAGTTGAATTCAAGTTCATAGTGGACTGTGTATTTTTCTGATCACTATGAAAAACCTCAGACATTTGAGGAGGTTTCCATTCCTTTCCCACAAAATAGAGTTCTGTTAAGTTTATTCGATAAAGAGGATTTGCCATTAGGATACTGCTATTATCATAATTTACATTTGATTAAAAAAATCTCTAAATTTACAGTTGGCATACAAGTTTTAAATAATACACGATTTGATAAAAAGAATATGGCAAGTGGATTTGTTATCAGACTCGCTAACAATGATATAAGACCAGACTTGGAAGACACAACAAAGACATATTTTATAATGGTCACAGCTGCTCATATTATTTCTGATACAAGTCAAGCCAAGAAGACAGAGATTCATTTCTTCTGTGATGATCTACAAGACATGAGTTCAGTGAGGAAAGCTTTGGGTTGGAGAGTTTTGAAATCAAACTCTGAAGCTAACTTTGTAGAAGTTCTCTGTTTCACTAAAGATCAAGTTATAAGTTCAATGTTACAGGAACATTTTTTTAGAACTGAAAACAAGCAATCCTCAAAGTGATATAAATGAATGTATATCAAGGCTGAAGAGATGTCTCAAAGATTCCCACGTTTTTAGTGATTATTGTATTTTTAAAAATGAGAAGAGAACACCTTTTCCTTGTCAGGCTTACATAGGTTTAAAAACACCTTTCGAAAGACTCGTTCTACTAGCTTTATTTCAATTCACCGACTTCTTAACCTCCGATATTTTGTTACATACATGTGAAGAAAGATATCAGTCAGCAAGATATCTATAAAATTTAAATCAGATGTTTTGAATTACTTGAAGTTTGTTCTTAATTATTTCATAGAGACACAATATTGGGGAAACAAAATGGACATCTTTAGAGTTATATACAAATAAGAATGATTTAATAGAATGCATTAAAAAGAAGAGTGAAGAGGTGTCCAGGGAAATCATACTGAGAGAAAAACACAATATTATCTTCAAAATCTCACACCATGGAATGAAAGAAATTTCCTTTAATATACCATATCCAACAGGTGATGTGAAGGAAAGAAAGAGATGGGATGTGCATGATGATTCCCCCATCTTTACCATCCCTTGTGAATTCAGATAGTATGATGTAACAGCGGAGTCGAAAGTTTTGGATATAACTTTCCAGTTTCATGAGTCTAACTTTGAATGTTCTAACGAGCAATCATTATCTAATTACGCTACCATTTATTTCCCAGTTGTGACAGAGGATCGAGAGTCTGGAAAAGAGTCTGGGAGGATCAGCTTTAAACATATCTGACTCTTGACTTAAGTACATCATTTGTGTGTGTGTGAAACCAGTTTCTATTTATGTGGTTCAAAAAACAGGTGACCAATAACTCTAGCAATCCTATTTATCTACACTGAAACATTGTTAATTTGGGAATCTTTTTAGAAAATGGATGAAAATGATAGGAAAACAAATTGGATTCTTCTTCTTCTTCTTCTATATCTTAAGGGCCCACGATCAATTTATTGATCATTTTGGCTCCTATGCATGTAGATGGGATGTGCAATGTTTCTGTTACTGGTGGTGATGAGGAAATTATGCACTAGGGGTATGAAGGCTTGAGGCAATAGACACAAATGTGTCTAGTGTTGTCGCCTCAACTGTTCCTTTTGAAAGATGGTTCCAGTCCCTGATTGTCTTGGGCAGGAATGAGCAGCTCCTATACCGGCTTCTTGCTGGTATGAGCCTGAATTGCCTGTCATGGCCTCGTCGCTGTCTATGGGGGAGAGGGACGAGTTTCTGTTTAATACTGGAACAGTGGACCAGCCCATTATTTATCTTGTACATCATGGAGAGCCTGGATTGTCGTCGTCGTTTCTCCAATGGTGACCAGCCTAGTGTTTCTAGCATGCTGCCAACACTAGAGGTATTCCTGTATCGGTTTAGGACAAAGCGTGCTGCTCGTCGCTGGACAGCCTCCAACCTGTCAATGCTCTTCTGGGTAAATGGGTCCCAGACTGAAGATGCATAATCTAAAATCGGACGGATAAAGGCTTTATATGCTCTTTCTTTCACACAGGAGTTGCTAATCTTTAGATTTCGCCTTAAGAACCCCAAGGCTTGGTTTGCTTGGTTACATACATTGTTAATATGCTCGTCCCAGCGGACCTCTCTTTGAATGGTAACACCCAGGTACTTTACGGAGGAAACTTGCTCAAGAATATGGCCGTGCAGTTTGTATTGGTAGTGTAGAGGAGTACAACTTCTAGAGATTGATAGTGTATGGCACTTGGCAGGGTGAAATTCCATGTTCCTTAAAATTAATTTGCAGCATCCGTTCAATCTAGCTACATTTTTGTTAAAATTATTTTATAATTTTATTTCCACATCAACCATTAAAAGAAATTTAAAGATCTTAAAAAAATTGGTTAGAGTATATTAGCATTGTAACATTTAATTTTGGATTTCATATGCAAAAAACGTATATAATTGTAATTCAGCTGATATTTTCTATCCATTTCTGTACATTTATCATATTTGGTCACCTGTTATCTCTTTACGTTGAAATAGGCACAATAAATTATCATCTGATTATGTCATGTAGTATTAAATTTTCTTATATGTCACATAGGTCAAAACTAGCACATAAGTTAAGCTGCAAGTGACAATCTCTTGTAACAAAGCAAGAAAATGAAATATTCTCTTATGCGATTAAAATAGTCATTAATATTTTTTTTTTATTGTTAAAGCAAGTTACAATGTTTTTTTGTGATAAAATTGTACATAATTACTTTCATCATATCAAATTATTTAACAAAAACAACAACAACCGCACTGAGTAATCATTGGGATTAATATAACAATTTTTAAATAAGACATTTGAAACAATTCTCTGTCGCAACTGAAAGTGAAAGATACATTTGAGAGGGTTTATTACAAAAATCCAAAAAGAGTGATTTTTTTTTAAATATAAAAAAAGAAAATCCTAACAGTTTTAGAATCGTGTGTTAAAAAACAATATTTGAATAGTAATGTAAAATATTTTAAATACGGTGGTAAAATAATCATTTCTATCACGGTCGTTTTCAAAACTAAGACTAGAAAATAATTGACATTTTGTATAGTATTGTATTGGTTTTCCTCAATTGAAAAATTTAAAATTTATGAAAAAAATGCATTACGCAAAAAAAAAAATGTATGCAGAAGGGTAGTATTCTAATATAAATAAGCCAAAAAAATTCTTATAAAAACAGAAGAATCTTAACGTTTATTTTAATTTTATTTGTCAAATATATTTTAGCGAAAGAGACGATCCAATTCCAAAGCGATTTAACAAAGTTTAGAACCTTTCACCTTCGTTCACGCGAAACATTTATTCAACTCAACGAGAATCGTGCAAGCTGAATTATTTAGAGCTTTTCTGTTCTATTCAGCAAAATAGTTGATTTGATCAAATTTGTTAATTTACAACTTTGCCATGAAGAAAGCGATATCAAAATATAAACTAAATTATTTTACTTGGCAATCAAATTTGGATTTTAATTTGATTCACTCCGTATAAAATGTCTTCATCCACTTTTTAAAAACATTAACAAAGCTCATTTTATAATACATAGGTAAATAGAGCGAAATCCTATATTTCTGTTCACATGTCACATAAAAACGGGACATAAAATAAAGTGATTCGAGGAAATGTTGATAACGCAGAAATATTTGTATGACATAACCAAATAGTTTATACAGTCTTGTAAAATTTCAAGGTAGTTTTATTGACATGTATAGGGTCGTCTTATGGACATGAAAATGTCGTCAACGTGACATGTAAAGTGTCGTCTCATGGACATGTAAAGAACATTCTGATTGACATGGTTTTCTTTGGTAAGTCCAGAAATTATTTATGACATAAAGTATATATTCCAAATCCTGGAAACTGTTTTTATTGTCCCACACTCAAGACATCATGACAATGAGTTGAATTCCAGTTCGTCGTAGACTATGATTTTTTTTCTGATCACAATAAATGTATAGATGGACATGTGGTGTCAGTGCATGATGGTAGATTTGTCATATAAAATAAATGGTTTCCCTTAAGTTTCGTGGATATTGAGGATTTGCCGTTCTAATAATTTTTTTTTAATGTTAACTCTTTTATACGTATAAAAGTGTATTAATGTGTCTAAATTAATGTTATATGACATTTGCATTACGTCATTGTTTTGACATTTGTATTAATTAAATATATTGGACTTATCCAATAATTATATTGTACATTCATATTAACTAAATGTGTGGTAGTTATGTGAGTGTTGTATGATATTTCAACAATATGTACACATTTAGTGTATAATCGCCTCTATTCCTTTATTATTGTTTAGCCCAAATGAAAACATTTTTCATGCTATTGATTAAGGCTGCAATGTACAAATTACTATTCTCACCGGAGTGGCTCCGTACAGATTAAATGGCTTCGGAGCCGGGTGTGATAACAATAATAATATGAGAATTTATTTATTTATTTTTTTCCTCTTTATTTCATAGATTCATAGTTTTATTCTTTTCATTATTTTTTTTTTTTTTTGCTTTGTTAATTTCTCTTAGTACCGGTAGATTTTTTTTCTTTCTTATTTTCTTTTTTTAGTTTAAGCGATTTTCGTAGATCAATTTTTTTTTAAATCTAGTAATGAAGATGATTTAGTTACATTTATTGTTTTGAATTTTAGAAAAGTAATAATAGTAATTATTAAAATTAAATCCTTTATTTAAGATTATTTATGTGTATTTTTTAAGTTAAAAGATTTAATCACACAGTACTTTATGAATTAATAGGTATTCTAAATAATGAAAATTTCATTCATAATGAATTTATTTCAACTATTCCTCTAGAGAGCTTTGCTTAGTC